CCCCCTCCCCTGCTTCCCTAACTATTGTTCGTTTCACCACTGTAGTTATCAAATCTTGCTTCTATAAATACCAGATTGTTTTACGTTGTAGCGACTGAAGAGATTAAAAGAAATGTTAACATCTCGCAGTATTTGTCTTCTTTCGGTTCTAACGAGTCTTCCGAATTGTCATGAGATCCTCTAGGCCTCTGGCTGATTGATCGGTGGTCCATGATACACACTCCGTGTGTACAAGCAGAAGATTGCCACTTTACAAGCACTGATGATGTCACCTCGGCTGCTGGTGAAACGTTTGCAAACAAATCGCCAAGCTCGGCGAACAGGCGAAATAGAATTCAGTTCACCCGAGCTACGAGAACCGATTTTCAATAATTTGTTAACGGTTCCTTTATTCTTTGATTCTTTGAAGATTCGTTCATATTCGTTTACATGTTATCCTGGAAGCCTTCAGAAACCGTGCCGCGAAATTATCTTGAAAGATCCGAGGCAGTAGCAATAAACGTATTGTGACCAACTCTATCCTGATCAAGGCCCAATACAGAACATTTTCTCACCGATGACCCTTTACCTATACCCGGAATGCGTGACCTCATCTATTCGGTTTTATCCCTGCTCCTCTCGGTCCATTTTGATTTTGCAATTCCCTTGTCTAAACCGCTGATAAATACCTTTTTGTTCTAATGCCTTCCCAATCACCTTCACCACCTCACCACATTCATTCTGGCATAAAGCTGTTCATCCGAATCAAGAAATGTCTCCCTACTCGAGCCAAACAGACCGCATCGATGCATCCTAAATGGATTTAGTTTTCTACAATTTCTGACTGTACACAGAGGTATACTATGAACCCAAACATACCGCACACAGATTACTTTTGAAATGTATAAAAAAACTAACAACTTCAAATAGAAACAAATTGTATGCGAATACGTTTACGAAACTTTGAAGACAAAATTCTTGTGTTTAAGATGAAAAACACAAGAAAAACCTTATTTTGAATAAGCAAAACAACGGTAAACACTGATAAAGACATACATTATATTAATTCCCTTCGTTCTCATCTCAAATTTCACGACCACTTTGGATTCACAACAATCTTCATGGCCTCGTGAAGCCCACATTGTCAAAGAGAAAAACTTGAATAGCTCGCTTATCACCGGGAAGGATTCGTCCGTAAGCTACCTTCAGCCGACATTAGACATGGCAAACAGGGCTGAGGACAAACGTATGGAGAAGCTGGAAGGACACTACACTAAGCCAAATACGGGCAGTTCCATGGGAGAAGTAGAAAAGTCACAGAAAATGAAACCGAGTGAGAGTGACAGTGAAAAGCTGGTTCACTCATTGCGTGAGGTTGAAGACGACAACAAGGATTCCACGGCAAGCGAGGAGCCCTTCCGAGATACTGAAACAAAAATCACCAGAGCTGATTATAAGAAAACTGTCAAACTAACGGAGAAAATTGAGGGTGTGAAGAAAAACAAAAAAGATAAATTGTACCACGGATTGGACGAAAAATCATCAGGTGTGGAGGAGAATACAACTGTGTACCCGACTGTCTTAGGTAGGTATAAAGTTGAACTAATTCAAAGGTGTTTCTACATTTGCCCACGAACTAAAAACAAGGTCTCATTCAAGATTTTCAACCACCCACAAAATGGATCACTTAACGCTGTAGAACGCTGTTTATTCACACCTCGTGAAAGAACGCTGCATTTAAATTTGTTTATAATGCAATATAGCGCGATACTCAGTGGGATGAATGTAGACATAAATTATCTACAGCAGCGGTAAATTGGTAATTGTCAAACCAAGTCTTACTCACGGCCTGGGTTAATGCAAAAAACCCAATGAAGGCTGCGGTACTTTATTTCCACGCTAACCACGGTTCTACAAAAGTTTATAATCAAAATGTATACAATGAATTCAAAAGGGGCCTGCCACTTGAAATTAGTGAACGGACGATTTCAGACGTAGCATTACAAAATGATGTGTAACATTTTAGCATAATTTAACCAGATCGAAACTATACATTTATGGAAAAAAAACCGAATAATAGTACAGTCAATCTCCTGCTGTGTCGCACCCCTCGGAAATTCGAATAAGTGGGCAAATTCCAGGAACTGCGACATAGCAGGGTCAACAGTAGTAAATGCTAATAAGTAGTATTAATATCGGTCGACAGTTTTGTGACAAAATAAACCGGATCAATTAAAGTAGGTTAATCCCGTTAGTTTTTCCTAATGTTTCTAGTTATAGACTGTTTATTTATAACGGGATTTTGATCTACCGTCCTGCATATCCTTTATGTATCGAAGAAATTAGAATGTTTTTTGACGCCCTCAGCTTAATATCAGCACATTACATGCGATATTCAGCCCTTTTCAGTATTATGTCTAATTATCCCGAAACTACCTACCTTTTGCAGGGGAACTTTATCTGAACCAATTATCTCATATTAATTCCAGATATTCCTTCATTTCGTTGCCATGTTAGGCTAATCACATAATTGATTATATGACGTCCACCATAATATACATCTGTTTTATCTTTAATAATCATATCAGTGGTAAACAATTCAAAGAAAACAAAGGCGAACCAGTTCAGATAGAGTGAGAAGGAAATAACACCTAAAATGGGTTGAATATCTGTCACGGGTGATACTCAGAACATTGACTTCTTTCCCATAATCAAATTGATTATTCGCTGTGCAATCTATTCATGACTTTCTATTGAAAAATGTGTACCATTGACGTCTGAAGACGTCTATTCGTTCGTTCGCTTTTGTAGTTATCAGGTCATGTTCAAAGCGATTGATAGATTCATATTCTAGTAAATGTTTCCAAATCGAACAGTTAAAAGACCAAATCACGCCCTGATCCATTAGTTGTAGCATTTAAGAACAGTTCGGATTCAGTCATACCAATTTGAAATTGGAGAATACTGCGGCTTAGTTATGGCTAGGGGCGTTGTCCATAAAAAGAAAAATAGAACGCCTTTGAGAAACCATTTTGCGGTTGACATCGAACAGCCAACTGTGGAATAACGTAGAAGTCATTCATGCGTTCTTTGAAGAATTATAACTGAATGCAAGACTTTTTCTACCTATACCTCGGAGGCATCGTGGAGTTTGAAAATTTCCAATCACCAACGGTGATAAGGTTTCTTCAGTCGTGCTCCCACAGAGCAGTAACGTGACCTACTCTTTGGATTTCTTGGACTCAGAAACTGTCTTTCCTTTCAGACTTAATGATCTTTCTGGGAGCTGCCTGTAACACAAAGCTGTTTCATCTGCATTGAAAGTATCACGGTCATCTGCGATAATCCCGCTCGAAACTCATGGACTGCATCACGTGGTACCAATCAACTTTCACCAAAGACCTATACAGTAATGCACATGAATTGCTTAATTCTTACTTTGTACGGTTGAATACCATATCTGCCTGACCAAGAGTGAAACGAACCACTGCAAGCCTTGAAATCATTATGATGCAATCTTTCTGCTTGACGGATAGCCTTCTTACGTACGATGCTCTTTACCATTGCCTCATTTACCCGCTTGAACTTTTAGTTGATTTTCTGGGGGCATCCTTTCTCAGATGCTCCAGCGTTCAAGAGTTCCTCGATAGTCGTTTGATGGGATACAACATTGTAGACAGTTTTTCCTGAAATTCCAAGTGATTTGGCGGCGGGGCTCTCAGTTTCAGTTAGCTGTTTCAGCACCTCCGACACATTCTGCTTCTCTCTGATCGATTGGCGCTAGCGCATTTTGCCGTCAAATGACAATGTCTTCGATCACTTACATCAGTGTGACTTGTTCGCAAGGATTTTACAGTCAGTGAACAGTGCCATGTACGCGTCACACTAGGTGCAACGCCATTGGTTGAGTGCGACATTTCACGATGAATGGTCAATGGTAGTCCCGAACATCGGTCAACGACCAAGTGAGTACGTACCAAGTAGTGCGACACATCTCAGTCAGAAACTACGTTATTAGGCATATGGTTGGTTTGGGTTTTCGAAAATGTGGGAATATATTGGAAAATGCAACTTCTCAGGAGTGCGACATAGCTGGAGATTGACTGTAATACTTAATTGATTAAATAACCGTCCAAAGTTAGTATTCAGACGTTTGGCATGAAATGTTCAATACATTGAACGGTTTTCCATGCGGATTAAAGTATTCATGCATCCGGATGAAGACAAGAAGCTGACAGGCATTGTCAAACGTTTGCAATTCATAGGATTACAATAAGTGAGAATAATCCGTCACCGTGAGTTTCGCTGTTATCTTTAAACTCCGATACCCGGAAACTTTGCACCAAATGTGCAATAGGACCAAAGCGAATGAAGCGAACTGTGCATTTCTAAGGTAACAGGATTGGCGATTACTTTTGCCATAATTACAATGAAGAGATAATGAATGACAATAGCAAAAATTAGCTAATGGTAACCAAAAATGACGTGGCAGCTTACATAACATCTCCATGAAGTCAACTAAAGATGTGACAATATCGGGAAAAGCATAAGATAGAACGTCACCCACTAATTGTATACATACTTAACTGACTGACAGCATAAATGTATGTCCGCCATATCCGATCATTCACATTTTTCCTGAATGACTACCAGATGAAACAGCCGAAGTTCAATCAAACGACAAACCCACCGTCGTGGACGCACAACAAATCTCGCAAAATTTGGAAACAATCGATGATAAGCCATTGGAAACTGATATTCAAACAGAGAGAAATTCCGAACCGATCGGAGAAATCCAGGATGACGGAATCAGTCGGAATTTGAAGACATCGAGCGAATCGATTGATCCCAAAGTGAATATCACGGTGGACGAAGAGGATGAAACTATTGAACTACTGAAGAAACGGACCACTATGAACACGGACATCGGCGTGAAGATAAACGAAGAGGTGACTGAAACCAGTGCGGCAGGCCCTGATTTGAAACAAGAGTTGCCAGAATCTGGTGAGTCCTTAAACTCACTTAAAATAACGAGGTGTGGCAAAACCATATTGAAACTGTTCTAAACGTTTATACTGATTAAACAGAGCTTCGAAATCATGGAGGTGATGAGGTCACACAGACACAACTGGAAGAGGTTGAAGAGATTTAAGAATCACGTGAGTGATGAGAGTGAATGAATACTCGAAATTTTATATATCACTCAGTTGGTGAGATTTCAGGACAGTGGTAAGTATTCTTTGTCCAAGGTTATTGCGGATAATTTTGTGCTTGCACTTGGTATTGCTTAAAACGTTTGGTAATTGGCTGAATGTTTCAATGTCTCTCAAACCGGACGCGTTCTCCAGATGGAATACCCAAGGCTGACAACATCAGCGACATTGCTGAAACAAACGCTCAAATCAGCTTACACGATGTGGAACGGAGTGGGAAAAAATTGGTAACAACGGAGACAATCAGTGAGGGAGTTTCAAAGTCCAGCGGGCTGAAAACCGATGACGAAATCTCTAATAGTTTGATTTTAACTGAAGAATCCACTAACCTCCCATCGAAAAGCACCGCAGAGGAAGATATGAAAATGGTTGAAATACTGAGGCAGCAAGCAAATAGAAACAAATTAACTCCAATGACTCAATACGAGGAAGCGAGTGAACCAAATATACAACTCCTTTCGGGAAAAGAAAAACTATTGGAAACAGGTGAACGTTGAAACGTGAATTCAAATGAAACGTATGAAAACGTTTATAATGATCCACCGCTTCGGTTGATAGTTAGAAATTAGAAAAAATCGGAAAGGAACATGGCATTCAATCTACGCAACAGAAACATCCTGCTCATGTTACATAGTGCTTGCATGGGAACTTACAGGATTGATTAATTTATAATGTGGGTCAGGACGTCCAACAAGGTCGATGGATAGACCTGATAATCTAGTTGTGCGAAGGCACCAAGCCGCCGATGGGAAAACAAGAGATTCGCACAGTTTAGTAAACACATTTATTCGATTTCGATCCAGAAGCACGAAGATAATGAGCCCAAAGGTAATGCAAACTCAATAACAAACAAAATGCGGTTAGACATTACGTTTATCAAACCATACTCTAGACCAATCACTGAATTACTAATTAAGCTGAGACCCAAAGGCTAAGGTTTTGAAGTCAGACGATGTACACACATGTATTATTGACTGGCGCATTACCTGAAGAGTAACGCTTTATCGCATCGTTACATTACAGAAAGCGCAAAGGACGAAGTACTGAAACGAGTTGACGAATCAGATCCGGTCGAAACTGGCGGGGGAGAAGATGCAGAACCTGCTCCTCTGAGCGGTGCGAATGAGCAGGTCATATCTTCCATTTCGGCGGACGATTCCATCTCAGATTCCAATCGCAATATCAGTGCAGAAGAAAAACAGAAAATCTTGGACGTATTGAGGAGCCGTTTGAATGACAGTGTGCATACGATGGATACTGATAAAGACAGGGAGAACAGTGTAACAGTAACAACTTTGAAAGCAGTCGGAGAATTTTCGGAATCAGGTGAGAGAGAAGAGTCAGAAAACTGTCAGAGTAAAAAAGGGATTCGGCAGTAAATCCTTTATATTGATGTCAAAGTTAAAGTCAAAGTCTTATCATAGGAATAACTTACAAGCTGGTGCTTCTCTTGTCCCATAGGATATTTCCACAGATGAATCGTTACACATCGAAAAAGAAGTCACGTAGAGTTCCGAGTAGGAGATAATAGAGAATGAAGGATACAGTGAATTTCCGCTTGCTTTTAGTGGTGTACGAATGTGAGATGTGCCAAGGTCTCGTCCAGTCTCTGCTTGAAATATTCAACAATGGGTGAAAAAACGACATGAGATCGGAGGGCGTTCCAAGATCTGCATACTCTGACAGCAAAAGACTGGCGCCGGTAATCCAGTCAACACTTTGGAATCAGTAGTTTGAAACGATCTCCCCTTAAGTGTACATTGTTTGATAACATGAGCAGCGATCGATACGGATGGTTTGGGTTCCGCAGTATTTGATAAGTCCAAATCAAGTTTCCCCGAATTCACCAGTACAGAGCAGAATATAGTCCCAATGATCGCAATCTCTCGTCGTATGTCAGGTAATGGAATCCATTGACCATCTTGGAGGCCATCCTTTGTGGACTCTCAAGCATCTTGCGATCACGCTGTAACCATGGACTCCCAGCTTGGATGGCGTACTCTGTATAGGGTCGAATGTACGCTGATCGCAAACGTGGGAATAGTGATGATTCAAACCGGCCAAAGACTCGCCGAAGTAAGCCGACATTCTTCATAGCAGCAGATGAAGCCTTAGCACAGTTGTTGGAGCAGCTTATATCCTCTTGAACAACAATACCTAAGTCCTTTTCGCTAGAAGTATGTGGTTGCTGCTGGTCCCCGAGGAAATAAGAGAATTTCCGCTTGTGGCGTAGGGATAGGACTTTGCATTTAGAAACATTAAATTCAATGTCGTTCTCCTTAGACCATTGATAAGCTGCGTTGAGTGACTCCTGAAGTGTTTGAGAGCTCTCTGGTTCTGTTACCGTGTTCCAGATTATGGCGTCATCTGCAAACTGGATTGTTTTTGAGCCTAACACTTTCGGTAGATAATTAACGAAGGCGAGGAACACCGCGGGTGGCTTTGATGGGTCCGGATACAGAATCAGAAACACGAACTGATATG